TCTTTCCCTCAGGTTGAAAATAGCTTTGGGTGCCTATTGTATTTACCAGTAGCAAATACTGGTTCCTCTTGACCTTTGTAGACTGTCCCTGTGTACCAGAGTGTAAAGTTAGAGAGTAAAGCCGGCCTTAGGCATGGGGAGGCATTACTCTCATATAGTCATTAGTGATTTTCTCCCTTGTTAACCTGCCTGGGTCTCAGAGAGAGCCACATTGCAAGTGATTTGTACCTCTCCTCACTGTTGCTTCCTCCTCAGTGTGGGATTATAAATACGAATTCATGTTTATGAGTGATTCCAATTCTGGGGAAATAATTTACTGATCAGGGAAGGACAGATAAAAAAGATAGATGCCAGGAACATATGCTCCTATAGAAACATAAGGGTTAGACTGATTTTCCTAAGGGAAAAAATAGTATTTCAACAGTGTTAATGGGAATATGCAAAAAAGGTTGCCATGTATTATGGAAGGGAACCAAAGCTTTCTGGTTCTCTTTCAAACTAAATTTTTTAAGAAATTTGACAGAAGGCACATATACTCTGTGAATCAAGAGAGAGAGAGGGAGGGAAACTCTATTTCTACATCCTGTCAGGATTTGGGGCATGCATGCACATAACCCAACATAGTTTTTAAGTGACCCGGGCTAGGATTCAAGCTCTGATCAGCCCTGAGGCTGTTAGTTTGTAATACACAGTGCTTAACCACAGCTGTACCACAGGGCTGGCCCCAAACCTAATTTTTTATATTAGATTTGCTTACAATAGATTTGTGCTGATACAAAAATAGAATTTGGGGTAGTTAATATGTGTTTTCAGATGATTGGCCCTCTTTAATGTGTAGGATATAACAGTTTCTAAAATTAAGAGGTTAATATTAGCATTATGGAACTATAAAGATTCTACATCCATGCAGGCTAAAGAAAAAAAAATATATATATATGTATGTATATATGTATATATGAATGAATGAATGAATGAATGAGAGATTTTTTTCTGTAGGATGCATGTGCTCATCAGAGATAGAGAAAGTGAGAAACTACCCTCCAGGAAGGATGTCCACACCGCAGTCCTTTCTCCATTCTCCACTCAGGATTTTAGACTCATGCGCATGCATTCCCGGCATGAGATTCAAGCTGCTGAGTCTGGGCTCAAAACTACATTCAACCATGTGGGATTCCAGCACCTTTACCACTATGCCTCCTGCTGGTCCTGAGAAATAATTTCTTATTGACAGAGGGCACTCGTGCTTGCCAGAAAGAGACAGGGAGACAGAGATGGAGAGAGGAAGAAGGCACCCCTCCACACACACAGTGTAACATAGTTACACCACAATCGTTCTCTATTTCTTCATCTTGTTAAGATTGTTTTTTTTTTTTAGAGGTTTTTGCTATAGGGTGCGTGCGCTCACCAGAAAGACAGAGACAGAAAGCGAGAAATCACCCCCTAGGAGGGATGGCCACGCTGCAATCCCTTCTCCTCCATTCTCCTCTTGGGATCTTGGGCACGCACGCACACGCACCTGGTGTGAATTTAAGCTTCCGGGTCCAGGACTCGAACCACGGTCAACTATGTGGGAGTCCAGTGACATTGCCATTACGCTAAGTGCTGGTCCCATCTTGTTAAGATTTTGAGCATGCAACATGCCCTGAGTGTTTTTAAGCCACCAAGCTTCCATTCAAACACAATTGGCCATATGGGATCCAACTCTCATAACCACTAGGCTGTGGGACCAGCCTGAGAGAAATAATTTTTGATGTGCTTTTGTTTTTTAAGTTAATTCATTTATTTGTTTTTGTTATTTTTATTTTCCTATAGGGTACTTTTACTTGCAGGAGAGAAACAGAAAGGGTCTGGCATACTATAATCCATTCTCCTCCATTCTCTTCTTGGTATTTTGGCCATGCACGTACATGTGCCTGCCATGTTTCTCAGATCTCCAGGTCCAGGACTGGAATCATGCAGTTGGCCATGTGGCATAAAGTCACCCTAAACACCACACCACTAGCTGGACCTTTATTTATTTTATGAGCAAGGAAGAGAGAGATAGCATTCCCAATAGGGTCTTGATGCCATAACTTCCCACTTTCAGCCAGCAGCATGTCATAGGTGTGTGGGTACCTGGCACACTTAAGGTCTCCAGACATGAACCTAGAACCCTCTCCTGTAGTTGAGCTTCATGGTGGTGTTTTTGTTTGTTTGTTTGTTTTTGAAATTTTTTTTTTTTTTTTGAGAGGTTTTTGCTATAGGGCGCATGCGCTCGCCAGAAAGTCAGAGACCGAGAAACAGAAAGCGAGAAATCACCCCCCAGGGTGGGTGGCCACGCCGTAATCCCTTCTCCTCCATTCTCTTGGGATCTTGGGCATGCACGCACAAGTGCCTGGCATGAGTTTAAGCCACTGGGTCCAGTTCTCGAACCGTAGTCAACTCCATGGGAGAGCAGCAACATAGCTATTACACTAGCTGATGATCCCGGTGTTGCTTACTTCTGCACTACTAACTCGCCCCCTGATATGCTCTGTTTTGAAATCAGTAACTAGCCTAAGTAGGATAATGATGTACCATTAATACCACTCTAGGTAACATTCTTTAGTGTCAGAAACTATAAAACCCAAATGAACTAAATTTTAGTGTCTCATGTACCTCACTGTACCTTGTAGTGCATGAGTGTGGTTGAGGGCAAAGATTTGGAATAGAAAGCTCCTGGAGGGGCAGAGAAAAGATCAAATACAAAATAAACATTTAGAAGTAAACTTTTTTGGGGAGGGGTTTTTGCTATGGAGTGTGTGTGCTTGCCAGAAAGACAGAGGGATGGCCATGCTGCATTCCCTTCTCCATTCTCCTCTTGGGATCTTGGGCACGCACGCACACACGCCAGGAGTGAGTTAAAGCCACCAGGTCCGGGACTCAAACTGTGGTCAACTACATGGGAGTCCAGCGACATAGCCATTATACCAACTGCTGGTCCCAGAAGCAAACTTTCGAAAGATTGTTTCCAACTGACATTTGTGCTTCTCACAAACAGAGTTTGAAACAGCTGAGACACTTCTAAATTCAGAAGTTCATATGCTTCTGGAGCATCGAAAGCAACAGAATGAGAGTGCAGAGGACGAGCAGGAACTCTCAGAGGTCTTCATGAAAACCTTAAACTACACAGCACGTTTTAGTCGTTTCAAAAACAGAGAGACCATCGCCAGCGTCCGTAGGTGAGTGCTAAAAGAAAGTTATTGTTATTAATCTAAATTATTGGTCATCTGTAGGTAGGACACTGTTTCTTCCTCTCTTCTAGGCCTCAGCTATAAGTTTAACATAAGTAAAATAATGTCTTTATCAAAAATTTTTAGGGCCAGCCCTGTGGCCTAGTGGTTAAGAGAGCTGGATTCCACATCCCAACCACAGAGTCCCAACCCCAGCACACAGGCCTTGTGTGCATACATGCTCCATATTCCAAGAGGATGGAGAAATGGAGGAAAAGGTATTGTGCTATGACCAGGTCCCACTTGGGGGGTGCTTTTCTTTGTCCCTCTGTCTCTCTGCAAGTGCACATGCCTGCTGGCAACTGAAAAAAGAATGGAAAAGAAAATAAATAAATGGCGTATATGACAATATTCCCTTCATCCAACTTTTTTTATAACCCCCAAATCCCATTATCTTCCTGCAAGGTAACTTATATGAGAAGCCTTCCAAAAGTTTATAGAAAATGTGTGTTATGATAAAAACTATATGTGGATTTCAATTTAACTTTTTTAGAATTATTTTTACTTAACTTTATCCATTTATTTATTTATCTTAATTTGACAAGAGAGGGATAGAGTTAGAGAGAGAGAGAGAGAGAAGGAGAAAGTGAGAAAGCAAGTTGCCAGGTCCGGGATTCAAACCACAGTCAGCCATGTGAGAGTCCAGCACCCTGCTGACCCCAAACTTGTATAGTTTGTATGTTTCACAATCTTTCAGTTTCATTTGGGTTATATTGTTTCTGACACCAAACTATACAGTTTCACAATTTTTTTGGACCAAAGCAAACTCATACTTTAATTCCATTTATCTGTGAACCTGTTGAAATCCTATCATATGTATAAGTGCATATTTATTTATTTATAGGTTTTTACCCTAGAACATGTGCACTTACCAGAGAGCAACAGAGAGAGGGAAAGTGAAAAATTATACCCTAGGAAAGATGGCCATGCTACAGTCCCTTCTCCTCTATTCTCCTCTCAGGATTTTGGGCATACATGTGCATGCACGTGACACAATCTGAAGCTACCACATTGGGGACTTGAGCCACATTTGGCCATGTGAGAATCCAACATTTTAACCACCATGCTACCTGCTGGCTCCAGTGTTTACATTTATATACATGCACATATACACCCTCACATCTGTATTAAAAAATATATAGCATTGTTTTGAGGAGTTTTTAAAATTTGTAATTAAAGTGGGCTTATTTATTTTTTACTGAAAATCTCTTAGAGTTCTTTATATCTTAATAAATATAGAACCAGCCAGTAGTGTGGTAGTTAAGGCTTTTAGATCCCCCATGGCCAACTGCATGGTCCAAGTCCTAGACCCAGTGGCTTGAAAGACACACTAGGTGTGTGTTAGTGCATGCCCAAAATCCTGAATGGAGGAGAGATGGAAGAGAAGGGATTGCAGCATGATCCTGTCCTGTGGGGAGTGCTTTTTCACTCTCCCTTTCTGTCTCTGGTGAGCGCGTGTACCCTATGCCAAAATTTAAACACACACACACACACACACAGATACACACATGTATCTTTCTGGGTCTTTGCTTTACCTTTCCTAAGGTGACTGACTTTTAGCACTCTGTACAGCATTGCTTCTCAAATTGGGTTGGCCATCCCCAGAGAAACCCAGTGGTGGCCCAGGTCCTATAGGAAGCCACAGGGGAAGCAGGGTATTTTCTTTTTTTTAATCCTGTGGTTTTTTTTTTTTTTCACATTATTTATTATTTGTTTTTTGTATATACTTTCAGTCATATTGTTTGACTTACAATGAGACCATTTTGATATGTGCACATTTCTCCCCAGACCTGTTGATCAAAATATCTTTAACAGATAACAACACACCTCCCCGTATCAGTTTCACTTAATGATAGGCAATTTAGAACCTTTTTTTTTTTTTAAGAATTATTTACTTAATTTATTTATCACTATTACTATTTTTTATCTTGCTACAGGGTACATGCACTCACCAGAGGGAGACAGAGGGGAGAGGGGGGGTGGGGAGTGAGAAAGCAAGCTGCCAGGTCTGGACTCGAACTGTGGCCAGCCATGTGGGAGTTCACTGCCTTAATCACCATGCCACCTGCTGGCCCAACTTAAAACATTAAAGCAAATAGACCCCAGCATATTGTAGCGTAAAACAAAATTGTATGTGAATTTTTAAAGTTATTGAACCTAAGCCTTCAGGTCCTGGAGATATTTGTTTGTTCTACTTCAGTGAATATGCTTGAGAAGCATTGTCCTAAGAAAGTCAGATGGATAAAGCATGTCATACGCAGTTAGTCTTCAGAATGCTATTTAATTTTTCTTTTCTTTATTGATGATATAGCATGGTTGAGGGTTGGAAAATTTGAACATCCTCCACAGGATTCTCTTCCTCATGATATGACCAGATTGTGTAGAGGGTATTTGTCTCTTTTCTCTTTCTCTCTCCATGTTTCTTGTGTGTGTGCTTATATGCACTCTATCAAAAACAAAACAAAACACATTATTAATCAAGTGTAGAAAAGAAGTATGCATTTGCAATATTTTTGAGAAAAAGCAAACTTTTTCCATTCTCTTCCTTTTATTTGCCAGAGCACAGGTTTCAGGAGACAGAGAAGAAAAAAGCACTCCCGGGAACCAGCAGTTAGCGTAATGGCTTTGTCGCTGGACTCCCACGTAGTCGACCGCGGTTCACGTCCTGGACCCGGTGGCTTAAAACTCATGCCGGGCGCCTGTGCATGCATGCCCAAGATCCCGAGAGGAGAATGGAGGAGAAGGGATTGCAGCGTGACCATCCCTCCTGGGGGGTGATTTCTCGCTTTCTGTCTCTATGTCTCTCTCTGTCTGTCTGGCGAGGGAAAAAAAAAAAAAAGAAAGAAAGAAAGAAAGAAAGAAAGAAAGAAAGAAAGAAAGAAAGAAAGAAAGAAAAAAGCACTCCCAATGGGATATGGTCACACCACAGTCCCTGCTTCTCCATTTCTCGATCCTTCTGGGATTTTGGGCACACATGCCCAGTGTGTTTTTCTTTTTTCTTTTTGAGTTTTTTTGCCATAGGGCATGTGCACTCCCCAAAGAAACAGAGAAAATGGAGAGAAAGTGAAGAATCACACCCTAGGGGGAATGGCCATGCCAAAGTCCCTTCTTCTCCATTTTCCTCTTGGGATTTTGGGCATACACATCCAAACACCCAGCATGATTTTCAAGCTGCAGGCTCCAGAGCTTGAATTTCAGTCAATCATGTGGAAATCCAGTGCCTTAACCACTACTCTGCCTGCTAGGCAGACCCAGTTTGTTTTTCCAGTTCCCAGGCCGAACCACATAGTTGGCCATATGAAATCCAACTCCCTTAGCCACCAGGCCATGAAGCTGGCCCTTTTCCTTTCTCTTATACAGTTACCAATACAATGGGGTTTATTTATTTTCTTCACATGAGAAATAGAGACAGGCGGGTTTTGTTTGTTTGTTTGTTTGTTTGTTTGTTTGTTTGGTGAGCTCATCAGAGAGACAGAAAGTAAGAAATCACCCCCCGTGGGGGATGGCCATGCCGCAGTCCCTTCTTTTTTCTTTTTTTGTTGGTGGTGGGGAGGTTTTCGCTATAGGGCGTGTGCGCTCGCCAGACAGACAGAGAGAAACATAGAGACAGAAAGCGAGAAATCACCCCCCAGGGGGGATGGTCACTCCGCAATCCCTTCTCCTCCATTCTCCTCTCGGGATCTTGGGCACGCACACACACGCACCCGGCGTGAGTTTTAAGCCACTGGGTCCGAGACGCGAACCACGGTCGACTACGTGGGAGTCCAGCGACATAGCCATTACGCTAACTGCTGGTTCCCTGCGCAGTCCCTTCTTCATTCTCCTCTTGGGATCCTAGGCATGCACGCACACATGCCCAGCATGATTTGAAGCCACTGAGTCTGGGACTCGAACTGCGGTTGACTACATGGGAGTCCAGTGACATAGCCATTATGCCAACTGCTGGTCCTGAGACAGGCATTTTTTTGTTGCAGTCTTTTCCTCAGTTCTGTAGCCAGGATCACAGGTGCACCCAGTGTGTTCTGGTACACCAGGAATGTGAACCTGGAGCCATATGGCCTCCAGCATTGCCCAGTAAGTAATACCCCTACTGCCCATGCTGCTAGGGCTGCGCCTCACCATGACACTCTGACATCGGAGATGTGCGGGTTTTCTCCGCATACCAACCAATTCTGCAGCCACATCAACCACACCAGTTCAGTTTAATTTTGACACTGTCTGCTTGGATATAGGGTCAGATCCCACAAGTTGAGGGCTCAGTCCCTCAAGTCTGATCTCCATCTCACATGGCATTTGCAAATCTCAGATATGACCTGACCAGCTGACTATATATAAACGGGGGTTTCCATGGCCCCCTCCTTGGTTTGATTAATTTGAACTTATCAAATTTGTTTTTTTGGGGGGTTTTTTTGGAGCGGTTTTTGCTATAGGGCGCATACACTTGCCAGACAGACAGAGAGAGAGAGACAGAAAGCGAGAAATCACCCCCCAGGGGGAATGGCCGCAGTGCAATCCCTTCTCCTCCGTTTTCCTCTCGGGATCTTGGGCACACATGCACACACGCCCGGCATGTTTTAAGCCACCAGGTCCGCGAACGACGGTCAACTATATGGGAGTCCAGTGACATAGCCATTACGCTAACTGCTGGTCCCACACCCAGCATGAATTTTAAGCCACCAGTTCTGGGACATGAACTGGAGTCAACTACGTGGGAGTCCAGTGTCAACCATTACATCATCTGCTGGCCCCTATTGTGTGTATATTTCTAGTACAGAGTACTTGAAATAAGATGCATTTTAGGGGGACCAGCAGGTGGCATGGTGGTTAAGGGCACTGGACTCCCACATGGCCGACCATGGTTCAAGTTTCTGACCTGGCGGCTTGCTTTCTTTCTCTCTCTCTCTCTCTCTCTCTCTCTCTCCTACTCTGTCCTTCTCTGGTCAAATTAAAATAAATAAGTAAATAAATAAATAAAGTCAAATAAAATAATTCTAAAAAAAGATACATTTAAGGTGTAGATTAGCATAGAGTAGGGTATGTTATACTTTTTTTTGGTCTGGTATTTGTATTTGTCAGAGAAAGACAAAAAGAGAGGAGAAAGCATCCTTTATGGGTAATGGTCATCACACAGGGCCTTCTCCATCTCTTTCTCCTATTGAGATTTTGGGCACATGCACATATGTGCCTACCCTGTTTCTCAACCTCCTGGGTCTGGGACTCAAAATGTATGTTTGGCAATGTGGAATCCAGTTGCTTTAACCATAAGGCCATGGACTCAGCCCATTATTTTATCTGTTTTTTTGTTGTTGTTGTTGTTGTTTACTTAATCCTCCATAAACGAAAGAGCAAGCACAAACACTTTAGCAGGATCACCCCCAGACTTTAACAAGCCCTGGATTATTGGCATGCTCAAGCCCAGTGTACCTGGGGAGTTCTCCAGACTTGAACCAGGAACCTTCTCATGTGCATTTGCCTCCCAGAGCATCACATTTTACCACTGCTCCACTGTTAGTGGTTTCCACAGGTGGTAGTGGCAGGAGTTTCACCCTGTCTTCTCTTCACTCTCATTCTCTCTTTCACCAGAGCTTCCTATTCTGTTGGAGTATCAGCAGAAACTGACTTGAAACTGGGATTTTGCAGCCAGTATAACTGATCAAATGAGAGAAAATAGGGACTGGCAGGTAGTGTAGTGGTTAAAGGTGCTGGATTCCCACATGGCTGACTGTGGTTTGAGTCCCGGACCTGGTGGCTTGCTTTCTTGCTTTCCCTTTCTCGCTCTTTCTCTAGCTGGTCAAATTTAAGTAGTAGTAATAATAACAAGTGGAATTAAATAAATAATTCCTTTTAAAAAAGAGAGGGAATGCTATTTTTCTCTTGCTTATTAGTTACAGTTGATCCTCTTTTTCATATAGATCATTCCTTGAATGTTTTGTGTGGTTTTGTTTTCCCTCTCTGTGATCAGCTTGCTCCTCCAGAAAAAACTTCATAAGTTTGAGTTGGCCTGTTTGGCCAACCTTTGCCCAGAGACTGCTGAGGAATCCAAGGCCCTGATCCCAAGGTTAGTACCAGTTTTGATAAGTTCTATGTGTATTGGATAAATTCCTACAAATAAGATTGCTGTGTCTAAGGGGTATATTCATTTAAAATTTGGATAGATAACTCCAGTATTGAATAAGAATACCTTTTAAACAACGTATGAGAAAGATAGTTTTATACCATATTATGTGGAGCACCTGGAACTCTGTTATATTTATGGTATGAATACAGTTCCCTTTGGCAGGCAATTTGACTATGTCTAGTAAAGTTAATGATGAATATACCCCATGACCCAAAATTCTGTTTCTGGGTACATAGACTAAAGCCAGCTATTGACACATTTGTCCACTATCATATTGCTGACAGAAGTATCTGAAACTTGGTGATTCCTAAGAATTGAGGTTTATTTAGCTCACAGGTTGGAGGTCTGAGATCCAGGGGCCACATCTGGTGAGGCTACAACATGGTAGAAGGCAGGATCTTGAGCAGAGCAGAGTGACTGTCAATAAGTTTCTGCTTGTCCTGGTCTCCTCTCCCTTACAAACCCACCAGCACACAATCCTAGGGTCACACTTTAATGACTTTATCATACCCAAAGACCCCACCCTTAGCCATGAAAAGATTAAATTTTCATGTAACACTTAAACAGTACAACCAAGTATCAGCTCATGAAGTTTAGGGAGGACATTCCAAACCATAGTAGCAAAGTATTCAGGTTTACAAAGAGATGTGTATTCCAGTATTTACTTCTACATTGTTATTGATAGCAGGAATTTTTTAAAACAGTTTGTCAGTCAACAAGAGAATGATTAAATGAATCAATGTATGATCAAACAGTGAAAAAAATTAATGAACTAGTATGACATGGAATGACATTAATACATGCCAAAATAAATTTTGAGAAAAAGGGAACCAGCAGTTGGGGTAATGGCTATGTCACTGGACTCCCACGTAGTCGACTGCGGTTCGTGTCCTGGACCTGGTGGCTTAAAACTCACACCAGGCGCGTGTGCGTGCATGCCCAAGATCCCGAGAGGAGAAGGGATTGCGGTGTGACCATCCCCTCTGGGGGGTGATTTCTCACTTTCGGTCTCTATGTTTCTCTCTGTCTGTCTGGCGAGCGCACACGCCCTATAGCAAAAACCTCTCCAAAAAAAAAAAAGAGGGGGAGGGAAAAAAAT